TATGTGAATCAGAAATAGAAAATGAGAAATCTTTTGTAGTTACTGATAGTGAATATGTATATAAAGGAACAACAGAATATTTGTTCTTTTGGGCTAAGAATGAACGTATGAATGCAGGAAATAAACAGTTAACACACATTGAAGATTGGAAGGAAATTTATGTACTGTTAGGAACAAGACAAGCAGCTAAAAGAGCAAGTAAAGATATTGCTTTTACAGCAAACAGATAATGAGAAGTATCAAGGGTTAAAAGAAATGCATGAGATTGGACATGAAGGTATTGAAAAGATTATAAAAAAGCCAAGACTTGGGAGAATGGAAAAGACAAATGGTGAAAGAAATTGTAGAATCATGTGTTCCATGCAGCGAAGTAAAAAGAGAGTATGAGAAACAGGCAGGCGCACTGGTGTCGGTACAAGCTGACTGACCTTGGGGAATAATATACATAGACTTTACAGATAAGTTGCCTAGAACAGAGGTGGAAAAAACATGTTGAGAAAATTTGTTAAGGAAAATGGGAAAGGTTGGGCAGAAAAATTGCCACAAGTTCTAATGGCTATAAAGGGCAGCCCCACATGAAAGTTGGGACTATCACCTTATAGTAGTACAGTTGGAAGGGGGCAGAGGACCACTGGGTCCAACCCCCTGTTCATCAGTGCAGGACACCAAGTTAAACCATTCCTCTCAGATGGCTATCTGGTTGTATCTTGAATGCTTCTAGTGCGGAGAGCCCACAACCTCCCAGGCTAATAGGTTCCATTCTCATATTGCTCTAATCATCAGGAAGTTCTTTCTGATGTTCATCCTGAACCAGGCTTCCTTGGAACTTGAGCCCATTAACCCATGTCCTGCATTCTGGAATGATCAAGAAGAGATCCTGCCCTTCTTTTGTGTGACAACTTTTTAAGTACTGGTTGAACACTATCATATTCTCTTCTGAAGGCTAAACATGTCCAATTCTTTCAATCTCCCTCATATGGCTTTGTTTCCTTGCTGCAGTTCTCGCAACCCTTTTTGGTTTGTTTACATCTCCCTTAAACTGTGGTGCATGATTTCTTCAAAGCTCCATTTGGCAGTGTCATTTGATCCCACATGTATACAGAAAGGGATGCATATCAGTGGGCTTTATGTGCCTTGGCAATTTTCAGTTACATCTCCAATCTATCTTTCAGGGAAGCAGCATACCTGGTGAGCCCACAGGTCTTCACATATAGGTGTTTCCATCCCATACAGAACAGAATCTCCAACAATTCTTTTCTTGTTGTTCTTCTAGGCCTTGGTATCATCACCAAGTGTCTTGTTTAGTGCTGCATAGGATGACTTGTAGTTCTTCCACTGCAGGCTGCCCTCCAATCTCATCCTTGAGTAACTGAAGCAGTTCAAGAGTTCCACTGCTTCCACTGGTGCAGAATGTCTTCTAGTTCTTCTACTGCTAACACTCACTCTTTTCTAGGGAGCTTCTCCCTAATTTTCCCTTGCCTCTTCTACCTCAGCTTGCTATTGTTCTTCTAGACCCTGTATGAAAACCTAGCAGTTGGTAGTTCTACTACTCCATCTAAAAACTTTTCTTCTCTTATTCCCATGAGGGTGGACACTTGCTGCTTCAGTGCTCTTACCTTTTCTTCTAACAGAGTTCCTAGCTTGCACTTGTTGCATGGATAGCCCATATTGACCTCAGACAAGAGAACAAACTTTGCACATATCTTGCAGGTCACCCTGCAAGATATGCATTGGGAAGTCTTTTCAGTACATAGTCTTTACTTTTTTATTCTACCTTGCTGACCATGTTCTTCATTCTTTCCATCGTCCACCACTTCTCTCGTTTCTTTAGGTAGTATCCCAGGGGTCACCACAAGAGGAAAAATCCTTTCTCCCTCCTGTTAGGTTCAGGGCCTGAGTGACCCTACAAGTGCCTGCAGAACCAGGAACACCTCTGCAGATGCTTGCAGTGAACAGCTGAGGAGCAACTATACAGTGCAGCTGGAGGCCATGGATAGATGCATCAAAGACAGCACTGCACTGCAATGGCACTCTTTGCTACAGCAACATGAGCTGTCCTGGTGACTCCCTTTTGTTTTGACTTCCTGGACCACCTTGCCTGTCTCCTGTCTTGCTCCAGCCTGTTCCTGCTTCAGTTCTTGTCTCCAACCTGACCCTGCTTTCCCAGGTACCTGCACCCATCCTTCCTGGTAAGGTGTAGCTATCTCTCTCCCTCCCTCCCTCCCCTTGACTAGTAAAGTCTTTGAAAATGCAGCAATGAGAAAGGCTTATGAAAGGCTGCTCATATTTCCTCAAGAGTTTTTCTCCCCGCTCCCGTGCATTTGGCCATGACTACTCCACTTACATTTTGCACCTCTGAGGATGCAGCTGTTTCAGGGATCCATAACAGCCCTAACTGTATTGCAACTATCCAAAGGGAGCTCAGTGTTTAATTGCTTTAAAATGGAAAGCAGAAAAATCCAGCTACTGGAGACTCAAAAAACAAGTTCACTGACTATGCAGTAATGGCAAAATTAATTATGTAAACAGAAAACCAGGCAAAGAATTTAGTAAGTGGAAACTGTACTATGCACAACTTACTTTAGAATGAGGATTAACAACAATAGAAAAGTCTATATATAAATGGAGTGGAAGCTTTGAAAATACAGCCAGAAACTTATGCTCATACTAATGCTTTGCTGTTATACCATTAACGAGTTATATAAATGGAATAGAATTTTTGAAAATATTGCTATAGATTAACTCTTGTACTGATGCTTTATTGTTATAGTAAGTTCGTTAAGATGAATAGTTATGTAAGTGTCCAGAGTTAAAATTGCCTTTAAATGGTAAGCAAAGGGAAATACAATTAGAAAAGATTAGAAAAATAAGTTAGTGAATAAGCAGAAATGGTAAGACTGACAGCCAGTAAAATTAATAAGTGTAAAAGGACCAGAATTTTGGAGAAAAGTGTTGGAGATTGTTTGCATTGAGGCTTCATTCAGGAACGGCAATTTAGTAGAAATTTCAACAAATGTTAACTAAGTTCTTTTTAAAAAGTAACTGAGTAGAGATGATAATGATTACTGACTTTCAGCAATTTTTTTAAAAAAATTGTACTTGATGTTCAGTGTGGTATCTTTTTGAGATCCCTTGGTGTTTCTTTGCTACATTTTCTTTACTGTTTTTCTTTTTATTTCTTAAACTGTACTGTTATTAAAAAGAATACTAAAAAATAGGAGCTCGGTGTTAATGGTTATTTCAGTCCACCTGTACTTGCTGAGAGCTGCAAGTCATTCTTAGGCTTATGAAGTTGCACCCCATCTCTCCTTCCCAGCTCTCTGGCCATCTGGCTACTGGGGCATCTGCACCTGTGCTGGGCCAGCAGGATAAACTGCTGGTGTTCGCTGGCGTCCACCCAGCTGGCCCCTGGCCTTGGACACTGAGATCCACCAGATAGCTGCTCCTGGGGACATCAACATTTAGCACTGTTCAACATGGCGGCCTGTTGGTTTTCCTCAATCTTTCAGCCGTTTTTGATACCACTGACTGGAGTGACCGCCTAAGCTGAGCATGGGGGACAGTGCTGTGTGGGCTGGCTCTGCTCCTACCTGGATGGCAGGCTCCAGAAGGCCATTCTTTGCGGATATTTGCTCTGTTCCACCCCATAGATTTCCTCAGGCATCACTGTCCTCCCCCATGCTAGTAAACATGCGTGTTAAACTATTAAGTGGCTGCTGATGACATTCAGCCCCACTTCTCATTTCAGACAGATTGCAACAAAGACACCCCCCCACACATACAGAACCCAAATGCTGACACTATACTGCCTCCATTATTTTTTCCAATCAGGCAGGTAAGATTAAAAGGGGAACTATTGAGTAAAATTATATGCACACATTACTTATCCACAAAATAATAAAAAAGGGTAGTGACAATGGAAAATCCTTCAAGGTGTTACTATGGGGTGGAGCAGCTCACAACCGCCTTTTGCAATCTCAAAAAAAAGGGGGTAAAAATAGCTTTCATGAATGAAAAACAGCTCAATTCCCACATAAGAAATAATTGTTGGTAACAATGGGTGGGTCTGCACAACATAGCAGTCAACTCTTGGTTGTCATGTGTGCAAACTCAGTCCTTTCTTTCCAATGAAACCAGACTTCTGAGATTATGAATTTAGCAAAAGCCCTCAAGAAAAGCAAGTATACAGGTTCATCTGTTACTTCAGTCTAATATAGGTACTTGATAACTGAGATTATACACAGCTGTAAAAACAAAGAAACTAAATAATCTAGATGGCTATAGCATTATATGCATCTCAGGACAAATTCATTCCTATAACATCAATTAAGTAACAGCTAGACTCCAAATCTTTATTAAAAATCTAACACTAATCCACTCTATATCTCACACCCAGAAGTGAATCCAGATCCAGGGGTATAGTGAAAGGTAAAAGACCCAAATCAGTTTCTGAACAAAATGTGAACAGTGAAGCACCAAACTGAAATAAAATATGCATGTAGTGCCCCAGCCCTACCACAACGTCTAGTAGAATATTTTGATATCACACAATTCTGTACATTCTACCAGACATATGGCCGGGAAGGGAGTGGCCAGATGCATGGAGGCTATTTTCAGCAACCACACATTTACCAGTATGTATAATTTGGCCCACTGTGATACTGAATACAAAACCAAATAACACCTTTCTTGAACACTGTTTTACTTGTAGCGCTCAGTACTGTTGGCATCGAAGTACAGAAGGAACCTGGATGCAACCTGAAACTTTTGCAAGAGATCTCTTGTGCAACAGCCTCAATGTAAGAAAATGCCAGAAACTCCAAAGAATAAGCAATACAAACAAAATATTAAAATTTCCCACATCATACAATACTCCTCCAATGTCAGGTGGTTTAAATCGTTTCTTGTTTCCATGCTAAGTTCCATGTAATGTAGGTATAACTTAATGTTTAAAGTTACAAAACTATAGAAAAGAATTGAGATGAACATAAAGTACTTGCCTTAACAAAGTTGTCAGGAAACATGCCCCTTTTCCCATTCAGCTCTCCTTCTAGCCATCCTTCCTCTTCTGGTTTTTTCACATTCCTTATGATTTCACCAACTCGAATGGTTAGCTCATCATCATGTACTGCATCGTAGTCATACTCAACAATATACTCAACTGAAATGGGGAAAATAGGTCAGCATATAATTCAAGAATTTGGAAATACAAATCCTATCATTCAATGATTATCCTATTTTTAAATGCAAGTTATGAACAGAAAACCAACACAGCTTTTCTGGATGAAGAAGCAAGTCCAACTGTGACTTACTTCTGATCAAACATGGTTTGCATCAGACTATATTTTTGCTGTTTTAGGTTATTCCTGCATAAATTACATGCAGAATCATTTGCAAAAGCAAAGCATAAATCTTAGTGTCTTTGAAAACTCACTCTATGCTAATGGCCATATATTTATTCTAACTGTAAGACAACAGTAACCACCCTAAACATATTCTTAGTCCATGTATAAAGTCCAACTACTTCAACTTCATCATAAAGCTACTTGTTAAAGCACAGCATGATAAGCTTCAAAATGTTTCACTATGCTTTTAGTTAACACTGTTTCATGCACTATGTTTCCAGGATCCTACTTGCAAGCTAAAAACATGACCTCCAGTCAATCACTCTTATTTTGATTTGGCACAAAAACTATGTAGTCAGCTTTCATTGCAACATCATAAATCTAAAACAGAGTGAGAGTAATGCTTCCTCTCCTTAATCTGGTATCTGCTGTATTATAATAATAAAAAAGACGATGAAGGCAGACAGGAAGCAGTCACTGAGAGTGAAAGCACAGAAAAGTGAGAAGTCCTTTCAAACCAAATATGTTCACCTAAAAAATTTCAGCTCAGCCCTAAACAAAACTACTATGTCAGTGCAAGTTCAAAAACAATGTAAAAGGAAATCTTAAATGCACCTATAATACTTATACACTGCTTAATAGAATAAAATCTACCAGAACAGTCTTCAAAGTGAACAAGTCAGTCAAATGAGTATGCTAAACACCTTAATTAAAAATGATTAAAAATGTTGTTATTGTCAGGATCTGGTCTGCTCTGGTGGCCTTAACTAAAGCAGTTACCACTGTATTCACAGGCTCAGTCCCAAGCCCTGCTGGAGCTCTAGTTAAGGTCTTGGTAGATGGTACTAAAAGCCACTGAGAGGTCCAAGGAGAATCAACAGGGTTGCACTCCCCCCCCTCCCAGCAGAGGTCATGCCATAGAGTTACTCAGGCAGTTTCTGTTCCAAAAGCAGGTCTGAAACCAATTGAAATGGGTTAGATAATCAGTTTCCTCCAGGATAGCCTGGAGATGCCTGGCCACAACCCATTCAATCACCGTGCCCAAAAAGGGAGGGTTAGCAATTGGTTGGAAGTAGCTCATATTGGCTAGGTCCAAGACAAGTTTCTTAAGGAGCAATGCAATAAACTGTCTTTAAAGTGGAAGGCATCACACCCTCTCTAAAAGAGGCATTAACAACCTCCTGGAGACAAACTCAATTACCCTCTGTGGATTTTCCAACCAAGTAGGAAAGGCAAGGATCAAGTGAGCAGGTCGTAGGCCTGACAGACCCAAGCACCCTGTCCATATAATCAGGTCACAAAAGCTGAAATTCATCCAGAAGAATGGAACAAGATGGTGCAATGGACACCTCCACTAATGGAACCGGAATAACTGTGGAGTCTAAGTCACTATGGATCCAGGCAATTTTATCTTCAAAGTGCCACGCAAATTCCTCACAGGGTGCCTCCAAAGTTCAATCAGATCTCGTTTGGGCCTAGGATGCAAAAGGCCCCAAACAACTCAGAAATGCTCCACTGAGCAATACAATGCAGATGCAATGCTGGCAGCAATACTGCACTTCCTCACTGCCTTCATCCCCATGGAACAGGCTCAATAATGGGCACTAAGCTGTGTTCAGTTGGATTCATTTTGAGTTCCCCTCCACCTGTGCTCTAGCCATCACCCCTCCTGCTTCATCACCCTCTGCTCTAGTGTATACCAAAGAACCAACTGGGCTCTGCAAGAGGGGATTGTGTCAATCACTTGGATCGTGTCTATCACTTTGACTCATCTGCCCAAGTCTCGGTAATACATGCCAGGTCAGCCTCCTGATCCACAATTAAATCAGCTGGTTTGATTGTGGGCTGACCTGGCATTAAGTAACAGCGCCAGAAGGCCTAAGGGCAAGTTGGCATGGTTGTCAGGGATCCTCTGGCTGGGGTAAGGACCACAGGAGGGGAAAGCAGTCAGACATCGTAATGGCAACTTCTTTTTAAAAGTAAATTGCCACAGTAGCAGGGGAGGTGGGGACATTTTTGCTGAAATTACCAATGGGAAGGGAAGGATTAAACCTCCCCTCTTAATATGCTACAGGCCCAATGAAAAACACCCCACTATCTTAAAAAAACATATATACATGCTAACAGTGCACACTATGTATTTAATAAAATAAGCAGTTAGGCCCCTAGTCTCTTGCCCCTGCTAGAGGAATCTTCATCTCTAGAGTAGCTAGAGTTTGCAGAGACAACACAATACAGAAAGCTGAAGAAATACCATGCTAACTAACCAAGCAAAATTAAATGCATACTTTGTAAGTTTGTATTCTGAAAGAGGACAGGTGAAAATGAACCACTGCCTCCAAAAAGGAGGCAAAATGTATTGGTAGCTAGTTAATTTTCTGTTCTCAGCTTGAAGAATACCACATCCTAAAGCCTACCCCTATACAACTTTTTGCAGGATCAGCTTTTCAAAAACCACCTTGCATGTTAGACAACCACAAAACCACTTACCAGAGTTTTTTGGTACCAAAACCACATGAACTTCAGTACTGGAGAGTGAATGAAGTGGTAACTCATCCTGTGAGCCTTTTAAGTTTTGCTAATGTTTATAAAAGATTAGCTAAACTTGAAAAGCTCTAAAGATACAGGAAGCTGAACAAGGCATTTTATATGATAATGTTTGATTAATATAGGTTAACTAATCAGAGCAAACAGGATTACCAGATATAGTATGCACTGTGGAAATGAAAGATATTGTTCTCTTTTACCTGGAATCCCCTGCAGTCTCTGTAGGAAAACATTTTAAGCTTGACTTTTCCAAAGACTGAACTGATCTCAGGGAATAAATACCAAAAGTAAAGAAACAAAAAGAAATTAGGGGATGAGGCTAAGAATTGAGCAGAAGCAGCATTCTTCTCTCATTTTCTTTGACTATGAATTTAAAAGGAAACCTTCTCATAAGAGTTTTTGAATTTTAATTTTAACATGAAAGGTTTATTTAATTTATATCCAACCTTTCACCCAATACAGCGCTCAAGGCAAGCTAACATCAAGAAAATGAAGGCTAAAACACGATATACAGATCTATGAAAACTCATTGAATAAACAGACAGCATCCAAGTAATTTAAAAGCACTGCCTGGGGTGCAATCTCAGCAGACCTTACTGGTCAGCCCCAAGTGGGGTGGTGACACTGTGGCAGCAATAAACCTGAAGGGGACAATGCCAAAAGCTGCCACTCCTTCAGGGGAAAATACAAGTGCAAGGGCCACCCCCCCCCCCCCCAGCCAGCTCTGTTTGTTTTCCATCTCCTGGAGGGTGGGTGCTCATTCTCTCTTCACAATTCTAGAGTATGTGCCAGGAGGGGGGATCATGGGAACAGGTAGGGGACCTGAAGGGCCAATTACTATAGTGACAGGTAGAGGCACTGCAGAAAGCTAGGTGAGGGGAATGTGGTCAAGGAAATTTGTGACTGTGCCATATTCTGGCCCTTCTCACAACTGCAGGTTTGGCGGCTGCCTGACCAGCTTGTTCCTGACTCTCCAGATACTGCCACACTGTGCCTGGTCACTCAAAGACCGGGTCTTTTCCTTTCCTTTTCTCTGCTGTGTTTTCTACAGGGAAGGGAAGGGCAGAGGCGGGGCTATGCTGGTGTGTATGGGGGTTTGAGTAGGTGCGGTTCGTTCTATTTCATTATTTAACATTATGAATATTATTGTATTAAATAACTTTGTTTGAATTTGTATTGCTCTGCTGTTATTGTATTTGAATTTGTATTTGCTATGAGTATAGTATTGCATTTATATTGATTTTGGATTGTGCTATTATAAATTTTTAATCAAGTATTCTTGAAAAGAAGCAACAGCAGATTTTGTAGTCAAATTGCATGTTGCTCTAAAAATTTCAGTTGTATTTGATTACATTTAATTTCAATATTTTATTTTATTAACATTTTTACTGCACAGTCTCTGGTTATTTTAGAGAATTTTCATTTTTGGTACTATATTTAAAAATGAATACACAAAATACTATATTATGTATATAGTGCTTTTTATTTCTGCCTCAGAGGTCCCCAAAATAATTTTCCTTTTTTTGCAGGTCCCCAACTGTAAAAAGACTGCAGGTGGCACAGTGGTTTAAACCGCTGTGCTGTTGGGCTGGTTGATCAAAAGGTCGCTGGTTCGAATCTGCACAACGGGGTGAGTCCCCGTTGCTCCGTGCCAGCTCCTGCCAACCTTGCAGTTCGAAAGCATGCAAATGCAAGTAGGTGAAAAGGTACCACTGCGGTGGGCAGGTAACAGCTTTCCATGCACTTTCGTGTTTAGTCATGCCGGCCCCATGACCACAGAGACTCTGTCTGTGGACAAACGCTGGCTCCCTTGGCTAGGAAACGGAGATGAGCGCCACCCCCTAGAGTCAGGCATAACTGGACTTAATGTCAAGGGGAAACCTTTACCTTTAACCTTTAACTGTAAAAAGCTTGAAAACCATTGTCGTACACAATGGAAGACAGAATTAAGTTATACAATTAAAGTAGGATTAGATCTCCTGACTGTCTTCATTGGCCTTTTCCCTCAAAAGTGGCCCCAACTCAAAGACCCAACATGCTGGAGTAAGTACTATGAGAAAGCCAGTACTTTTAAAAATGTAAAAGCAGCACAAATCCTAACAAATGAAAGAGGGAGAATAAATGCCCTTAAGTAGGAAGATACTAATTTGACTCCTTGAAACATGCACACACCTAAAAGGTGGGTTGTCCCATCCAAATGTTTGTTAGCTTTAGCTCTAGGAAAGTCCTGGGGAACCTCCAACCCTGCAGCCTCAGGTTGTGAACAGAC